CCAGCTGGGCTGTCAGGGGCGAGGGGGGACCCCGTTAGGGAAAAGCCCCCCAGCACCGCCCCGCTCAGCAAGGGGCTGCGGGGATCAGCTCGGCTGGGCAGGGACAGGGAAACGCTCCGAGGGAAAGGGGTGCTGAGTGGGAGCAGGAGGCATCTGGCGATGCCGTTCAGGATCAAGCCGCCTGTGAGACCCTGCGAGCTGCCTGCAGGCACCCAGGGGGAAATGCAGAAGCCCCAGCCCGCCCAGCGAGCCCCACCAGGACGGGGTGTCCCTCCCCACCCCACGCACGGCGCATCCCCAGAGCCCGCAGCAGCGCAGCGCCCAGCGCCGACACAGGCTTCATCCCGGCACGAGGGACCTCAGCTGGCGGCCGCCCGCCGCCCCTCCCCGCTGCACCCAGGAGCCTGACGGGGCGTGAAGGATGGGTGGTGGATGGATGGTGCATCTGCTCCCGTCTCATTACAGTAACGGAGGCGGCCAGGGCGTCAGGCTTTTACCGGCTGAGCTGTTCGGTGAATTACGGCAAGGTTCTGCATTGTGGTAATACGATTTTTTCAATATATTCTGTTTGGATTGGCAGGTTGGTCTCACTCTTTCTCAACTGACTGATAAAGCACTAGACAGGGGATTAGTCCTCTTGGAAGCTAAAGAAAGAGGTAATATGGGTTGTTTATAGCCTGCAGGGGTAGAATCAAAATGTACAATACTGAGAGAGTCAAACTTTTACAGCGTACGGCACAGCTATAACTCAGAGCAAGTATCAAGCATTACAGTCCTGTGAAACGCATTCCCGTGACAAAAGACTGGAAAGGCAGAAAGAATGAGAGGAATTAATCTGTTCTTGGGACAAATATTGTAATGAAGACAGGAAATGCCAGGAAAATTAACCCTTGCCTGGGCTGGTTTTAGCATCGGACTGTCTGGCCCCGCAGTCTCAGCTCTGCACCTCGGGCAGTGCTGGAAACGACCCAGACACTGGAGACGCTCTGGTTACGCATAGGGGCAGCCCCAGTCTGACCTTGGCTTTTCTGCACTAAAGGAATAACAGCTTTCTCTCAACTGGGTTTTGCTGGATTTTCATAGCTATTAAATCTAATTGCTGAGATGGAGTTATAAAATTATAATTTTAACCATCCAATTTAGATGGAGTAACCAGTCGTCTATTTCTGTGATTATCCCTGATTATTAAATGAACAGCTGCCTCCAAATATGTTTGCAACAAACTAATTCAATGAGTGCATGTGCCTGAATATTCATGGCCCAGATTTGCGGCATAGACTTTTAAGACTTTTTCGCTGTGGCTTTAAAAGTTAATTTATCCTGGCAATTTAAATAAACACACTTCCATCAGCTTCGGTTAGTGCTCCAGACTTCAACACTAAGTTTGGCAGCAAGCGAAGGTGTCCCAGCCCCTGCGTCCACATCTGCCCGCAGCAGAGCCCTTCCAGTGCAGACAGACACTGTGTCTGTGCCGGTTCCAGACCCCTCCCGTGCCTTGTTTGCGGGTCTGACAACCCTTCTCTGCGCAGCACTAACGACATGTGACACTGCACAGTCTGTTTGTTTTAGCTTTTACACTAAATTTTGCAACCACGCCAAGCAGCCAGGAAATAACCTGCCCTCCCCAAGCGCTGAAATATGGGTAGGGCTGGCCGGCGCGGAAGCCAGCGGGCAGCTCCCCCGGCCTGCCTGGCCGCTGTGGAGCGCGGAACGCCTCACAGGCAGCTCCGCACTCATCCCTTCATCAGGAATTCCATTTCCTCCCTGCGAAGGAGGAGCCCCACTCGCTGCCAGGCAGGGTAACGGCGGAGGGGTGGGTGTGTGGGGCACCCACAGAGCACCCTGCGCTGGGGTCTGTCGCTCTGCACGGAGCAAGTGCCACTCTCCCCAGCGTGGTCTACAAGAACATTAAATATATTTCTTGTACTTAAATTTCTGCGTACTCCTCTGAGCTGCACTTCTACTGACTGGTAGAACATTTTAATAATATTCACAGCACGGTACAGATAATTTTAAAAAAATGTATTACCCTGTAACACAACCAAGTGCCCAAGAATTGATATTTCGCCCGATGCTGCTCACATCATGATGCGCTGGGGTTTACCCTGGGGTCTCCCAGCCTCTGTGGCAGCCTCTGGAGCCTGACAGAAACCTCCTGCACTTGGGAATGTGCTGGGATTTACATACTTACTGGAGAGAAACAGCTGCTGCTCAGGAAGGATGCACAGCTCCCAGGATGCACTTCCGAGGCGCCTGTTAGGCAGAGGCTGGCAGCGCGACGCCCGGGCTCTCGGGGTGATCCCTCCTACAGCTGCTCAGCTGGAACCCACGAGCACCAGCTCGGAACGCCGAGCCTGCTCTGGGGCAGTGACTTGTGCAACCTCTGACTGCAACATCTTCCTCACATCCTCATGGACACGTCCCCTGGCAAGCAATCACAATAAAATAAAAAAAAAAGTAGTCTTTTAAAAGCTTTTTATTAAAGATCCAAGAAAAAAAGAGAAGATAATAATCTGTGAAAGTATTTGAAATGTAAAGTAGGGCTTTCATTTTAACAGCACCCCTGATTCCTTTTGTCTCTTTCTGCACAGAGGTTTCATAAGAATATACACAGTTTGACAGACTTTCAGATGATATTAAAGAAGGCAACATCTGATTGTGGGGGAAAAGAAACAGTTTAAGTGAGGCAGGTTAGAGCTGCGGGGTCCAACCCGCTGCTTCGCGGAACCAGCCAGCCCGATGCTGGCAGAAGGAAATGACCAGGGTGCTGGTGTCGCGCGGTAACTGCAACCTGGGCCCGAGAGCGGGGAGCCCCCACGCAGCCCCGCGCGGGTGGGCGCGGGCCAGCACGTGCCTTCTGCTGCTCGCCCCTCGCTCGCAGAAAGGCGCCCGGGCTCGCGGGCAGCAGGGTGGGACGGAGCGGAGGCAGGACGGCGGCTGTGCGGG